GAACCGGAAAGAGCCTTTTTACTGAAAACGCGGTATTCCATCTTAGTCCTCACGGGTGACAACGCAGCTGAATTTTGAAAAGCAGCAACCACTACCATAAATGGACTTTCTCTTTTTACCCTATCCTATAAAAAAAGAACCGGCACCAACTCTGGAGCACACGTCCTCACCACAATTGGGGGGATCCCGTCAGGCCCACTCGACTTGTGGATGTACAGGGAGAGGAGTGCTTTGCGAACCGAGCGCTATGTGAACCGCACATCCGGCAGGGTGCACTCACACCTCGGGATGGTCAGCGGCGTACTCCCCCCGTCATCGAGAGTCGAGTTGGACGCAAAGAAAGAGCCTAGCAGATCGGCTTTCTCCTTTGCGGTATGGGCCAGTGAGTCGTCGTCCCCGTGCAGGGATGGTAGAGATGGCTGAAAGAAATTGCTTTGGACAACTTTGGCGAGAGACCAGCATGGACGGGTTCCAGAAGGAAGGCGAACTAGTTTTTCGCCAATTCTGTCTATGCCCTCTGACTTTGCCTTGGCAAGTTGAATCCGTCGATTAACCTCTCGGTCGAAATTAGACTTACCTAGTCGGACTACTTGTCCCAGGTAACATACTCGTCAACAACTTTGTATTTAGTGCTCCCAACAACCACCGGCATAGGTGTGACATGGACATTATACATTACTTTCGTTTCGTCCATGTTCATCTAAAGACCTATGCATTGGGAGACACTATTGAGGTCATTGAGCATAGTCCTTAGGTCATCCAGCAATTCTGCCATAAGGACTATATCGTCGGCAAATCGAAGGTGAGTGATGTACTCGCTTTTGACGTTAATACCGTATCCTTCCAATCCAGTGCCTTGAAACGTCTTCAAATGCAGAGACGAAGAGTTTCGAGAATATTACGTCACCCTGTCTTACATCTCTCTGGATAGGTTTCTTACTCTGATATGATATGAAAAACGATTACACAGTCCACCTGATGGTAAGTGGATGCTGTGGAAGCGAAAACATCTACATTTATCCTCGATTAAGACTTAAAATGTAAATTCGTTGCACTTGTGAGAACTAAGATGGAATGCCTCGTTTCCTGTAAAAAGGTTCTCCGGTTCTCTACAGTCACCATACGAAACACATCAGAATTTTACTCTGGTATTCTGTGAGACCGATCCTGCCCCGGTCGAGTCAACCCATTCGTGCTACAACCATAATATAGCTGCAGCAGGGCTCTACCATGTTGAAACAAAGTGAAGATTTACGTGTTCATAAGAAGGATCGAAGTGCCGAAATGTTTGCATAATAAGGTTATTTTTGTACTCTGATGGCTATCAGAGTACAAAACCTATCCAACCGCAGAGATGTGTTGGATAGTGACGATATAAAACCTCAACTCTTCACCGCCTGTAAAGCTACTTTCAGGCTACTGGACCGGAAAAGGTACGGTATTAACATTAATGGCGAATGCACCAACTGGCCTCAGATTTTTCATGACATTTCTTTCCTTTGACTGAATTTGCCCCACCTTCAACATATCGTCAATTCGCTTAAAAAACTTCCGTCTAGTGCAACCCTTGCCAACCCATCATTTCCGTAGAATTTATGCTTTTTTTTCATTCTTTCAACATGTCCATAATACCGAAGCATTTCTTTCATATAAGCATTTCTTTCATATTTATGTTCACATTTGATTTATAAAATAGTATGATAAACAGTAATTCTGTATTAAAACGTAGTGATTATATATTACTCTTTGTTCTGTATTACACTCAGAACTAATTAGTAATTACATATGTAGAATATATGGATAACACTGCGAATTTTAAATCCCAAAATATTTCTACTGTCGTTGGAATACATACACCCCAGCAATTTTACTGTTTCCGTTTTTTAACTATTCTCACTGCTTAGAATAATTCATTTACCAAAGAATATAAAATAATCACTTCGTTATAACAGTCACGCGGGATACTGTTCGTAAGATTTCAAATAATATCCTAAACCTAAACCATGACTAAGGTAAATAAAACACAAAAAATCATAAAGAAAACATTTTATTTCCATTACAATTGGATATCTGTATGTAATCAATTTCTATCTTTGGATTCTATTAACTAACAATCATAGAGTAAATGAGGGGATTGCGGTCGGAACATCTGTACTGCAAGCAGGAGATAGGAAACGTGTGAGTAATTAGGTAAAGGTGCAGCAATTATATTTAACTTGCGATATAGCACACGTAAACTTCGTGGTTTTCGCGCTTAAGTTTATTTTTGAGAAAAATAAGAGCCATTTCATTCTTAAGACAACACCAGGTAATGATTATGTTTTATCCGATCAGAGTATTGTCATATAGCCCTTCTAAAAAATTTAAGATGATCCCATACATATTCTATAATAATATATAATATATAAAATGTTATTTCTTGACACTCTGAATCCAGCTCAATTCTCATCCTACGTACATTCATTTCTCCGCGTGACTAGATTGCAAAGAGCCCTTGACGTCCCCGAGCGCTATAGCGAGAAAGGCGAAGCTTGTTTTCATATAAATTACTATTAAAATAAATATTTTCTTCGCTAGTTTTACTACACTGGGACACAATCGACCAAGGTTCCGCCGTCAACCATTCGTTAATTTAAAAACAAGGCTCGTAGGAGTCTGGGGCTCCAGGCACAGCACCCGTCGCGCTCATTTAAATTCGATCCCACTTGAGCAACTGTTTTCAGAGTGCACTACGACTATGAAACGAAGTTTCTAATAACATAGTAACACTGGAAATGGCCGAAGTCTGTCAACACCTCTGAATGATTAATGACACATCTACACAGATTTATATCCTTGTACGTGCAGTGGTAGTAAGTATGCATAATATGTCGGCTCCTTCGGCTAATACAAAAAACCCTTGTACATGCGACGCAGTAATTAGATACCAAAATATTTTAAAAGATTGTACGCGTATCTATTTCAAAGAACTTACGTATATTTATTATAATAATAAAGACTAGCATACATCATTGTTAATCTTAAATAATATTCAATATAAAGAGACCAATACTACTCGATCGTTATAGTAATTTATTAATATACCTTATTTTTTATTAATAGTTGTAATAATAATAATAATAAAAAAGAAGAAAAATATTGAGCATAATAATTATACCGATTCCTAACAGCCGTATCACAGTACGCTAACTTAAACAACAATGTCACTTAGAGAACTTTATTTTTTTAAATTATAAATGAACAATAACGCGTATGAACAGCGATCAAAAGAAAAGGGAAAGATAATCCCATACTCAGCATGACAGCTGTTGCAACGCAGTAGTAAGTATTGATAGTAATGTGACAATTATCCATTTTATAAATAGGCCCAAATCAACCGAATGTGAATAACAGTCTTAAACCAAGCGGAGCGCGATTAGTCGGAATCCGCGACATAACATGTTTTTATCGACTCCATTAAAAAAACAAATGCATCGCAATTGGTCCGAGTCTAAATAGTCTTTATAAACGATTAAATCACTACCCGTCGAGTTAAACGCTAAATGTCGATAAAAGAATTGTATGATATTGTTAAGTAGACAAAAATCAAGTGGAATCTTTAAGGAAGTAGAAGTCACTTTAGTTTCAAGGGAAGACTAATTTCGCCTATTACGAGGCGTCGATCGCCTTGCCATGGTTACATTTGCCCGAGAATCAGCCAATATTTTCTATAAGATCACAAGCTATATACATAGAGACGTGCCTTTATTAAGTTATACGAAGAAAAATAAGCATTTATATGGTATGCGTAACTTACACTTCTGCACGCGTCTCATGGGAGACCAAAGTTAAAACTACGATGCACTATAACTTATTTCATCTTATAGTATATCTCGAGGAATTATAGGATTTATTATCGCCGATATATGAAATAGAAAGACACAACACTAGCTCAGTTCATTTTCAAGCAATACATCCAGTTCTTATAATATCTTTTGGCACTGATTAACATAGACATGTTACACGTTAGCACAAGTTAGTAAAGACAAGCTTAAACTACGGAAATATTGAAGTGCATGCTCAAATAATAAATTACAATATATTTTACACCTAAAATCAATCTGTGGACTTGAGTTCAAAATTCGTTCTCACTCAAGATATTTAGTACATAAACCAACATGAGTCCATTCATCTTAAGCAATCGTATCAATTCTCAGTCTTAAATGAAGCAAATACACGATTAACATTTTGCGACTTAAAAGTTACAATTACACATAATATAATACTTGTACATACAACAAATCCAGTAAAAGTGTTGTACTTGCAGTAAATCCATTCACCGTCGATCTGTTGTTTATAACTGCGCAACGTTAGTGTCTCAGAAATTTGTACTAAGATTTCCACAACTCATTCCAGTTGCCATTAAAACTTACTCAACTAAAACCTAAACTGAGTATTTACTGGTAAATATGACGATAACGGGACCCTTTCTATGAAGGATGGTACAGATATCGACGAATATTGTCTTTGGTTTAAAAGAATGTGTGAGAGTAGTTTGTTATGAAACATTTTTACAAAACAGCACAACCATCGAAATATCTGTTGATATATTATACCATAAAAGTTCGTATATTTCACTTCCTCATAAATGTAGAATATGAAATATTATACAATACGTTCTAACTTCCTTAGAGAGAAATACATTAAGACATGCTCAGTTGTTGAAAGAAAATTATGACGTTGATTGAAGAAATTAACAATATCGATAAATTCATATGAGTGAGCATAGTGAGCATGATTACGGCCGTAACTCGATAGTTTCTTGTGAAGTAACTTGAAGCCGCGGTGATGGAAGTAGCGATGTAGTGAGGCCGAGGTCTTATGACGATGTCACGTCAACGCGTGTTGACGTCACGGTGACGCGTGATCACTTCAGTTCAGGATGACCTCACATGTGTGTGCGATGCGGCACGCCGTGTAGTGACGTCATAGGCAAAATTTGATGTATACTCCGTTACAGTTTACCTATGGAAACAAATTTTTTATTGAACATTTATTGAAAAAATTCAAATCGTAAATTACAGTACAATATGCAAATATAATTGTATAGAAGTGCCATCGTTTTAAAAATATTTTAATTTTAGTGTGACACGTCTTTTTTGGTGCGAGTCACATAAAATGAGTTAAATAAAGTCCGTGCGTTCTATTATGGGCGGGCTGAAGTTTGTCGCGAGCTGGACAGATATAGTCTTTAGGAAAAATGGTGACAGGAAGCGGGGAGTGGTATATGAGTGGCTACGCATAATGGGTACTAACAATTACATAAATACTCGATTATCGTTGTTATCGATTATGATTCGATTTTATTTTACATTTATTATGGGAAATTGCATTACTCTTTTTTCATTAGTGTGTAAATGCAACAATGTTATTTTAATACAGTGATTATGATAATGTGTATAAAAGATTTTAAAGTCATGTTAATAAAGGTTTACTGAAAGATGTTGTTATCCCTGCCAACATCATGTATTTTATTGTTTAATTGAAATGCATACGTAAAGATATTTTCATCATATACATAATTTTTTCTTTACTATATAATCGATAGACGAAATAAACTGTTTCCCTAATCAATCTTAGGAGCAAAAATGAAGTGATGACACTTCTCTATCGATGCCCTGATTGCCCTGCCAAGCTGTCATGATCGGACGTCTCTGAGAGCCAACTTAAGCCTGGCCAAGATAGGCAACGCATGGACTTTTTCTACTAACATTTTTCCAAATATGGATAAGGTAAATTTATGCTTAACGACAAAGTCTTCTTCATAACGATCGTGACGTTTGACAAACAAATAAATTGTCGTATTGCCTCATTGAGCTATTATGTACTACGTACTAGAGGCGACACTGCATTCAGCTACTCTGTTCCACTCAACTGCGGTGCATACACCGCACTTTAATCAGTCACTCGCTAGGCGCTTGTGGAGCTGTCACGTGTTGTGTTGATTTAAAAAAAATCTCTTGATAAAAATATGCCGTCGTGTGTACTTAGATATTGCACAAATAATTCAAGAAATGTCAGTAAAAACCAAGGAATTACTTTTCATTGTTAATAAGATACTTAATCAATAAAAAGTATTATAGATTTTAATAATAAAATAAATTATTTCTAAGACGCCATCTCGTGTCATGGAATATAGATAATAAAATTAATATGTTCAGATGCGACATTTCTGTGGGTACTTAAGTATAGGACGAATATATTATTATACACATTTTTTGTAGAAACATATATAAGTTATTATAATTAGGCTAAATTTTTAATGTTTAAATCTGCTTATTATTCTTTTATTTTATTTTTAGGTTTCCAAATTAAAGTCAAGGTGGAATAATATCGTCTATTTTTAACTTTCGCGTGCCCAGCATTTATGAACGACTCTTATTCTAATTTAAATAAATATATTTGTAATTTAAATGTTATGTTAATAAGTTTTGATAAACATATATTTAGTATGATTTTTATATATGACATAGATACCTTTTAAAATATTCTGACAAAATATCATTAAAATGTAATTGTGATATAATATGTAATATTATATTAAATAAGCAAATATAATACACAAAATAAATGACAAAATTTAAATATTGTTCTCGACATAATTTTCCTATTTAACAATACAATCTACTATTACCTACGGATCATTCTACCTATGTTTATTCTATGATAAAAAAACCAAACGCGCGAACACAGAGTAGCGCACATTTTTTGTTTGAGATAGCTGTTCTAGTACGTAAGTATACATAATATTACCTCAATGTATTACCTGGTATCTGTCACTGTCCACCGTGACAAGTTGGCCATTTTTTCATATTTTCTTCGTATTTTATATACAAATTCAAGACATTTTTTTTCACTCATTTTGGCGGAAAGAAAACAATTGAAAAATGGCGGAAAAGTGGTTTTTATTTTAATTTTTCTTTTTATAAAAGTGTTATATGTATTGATATTAAAACCAGCCAGATACAAACGTACAACCGAAAAGAATTTTCTTTTATTTTATACAAATAAAATACGAAGAAACTTTTCCCCGACCTATTATTATATATTTTTTCCGACAGGCACATAATGTGTCTGGCATCGGGGTTACACACACACACACACAAATGAGATTACGATATATTTGCGTCTGCAGAGAGGCAAACGTGAGTAGTTGCGTACTTGTGCCCGATTCGACGCTGTCGACGAGGTGGTGGTTGTGCGACTAGGGTGTGGCTAAGGTATATATTGTTAGGCACGTAAGTACCTTTATGCTAAGGTACAGCCGCGTACAGCGTCATCGGCATGATGACTGCTCGTGGTGGTTGTGCCACAGGAGCGTTACTGTACTTGTATTGCTAGTCACATAAGCAACATTACGGTGAGGAGAGCATGAGTAGAGGTCGCGTAGCGCCTGCTAACGGTGGTTGTGCCGCTGGTGCGAGCCGAGTGTATAATATATTGTAAGGAACATAAGCAACACTACAGCCAGGCGAGGGTTAGTACAGTCGCATACTTGTGTACAATAGCGGCGTGGTCCCGGAGCGGCTAGTCGTAGTGGTTGCGCCGCTGGAGAGGCGGGTGTATGTACAGTTAGGCACATAAGTAATATTACGTTGAGACAAGGGTTAGTACAGTCACGTACCTGTGTACGATTGCGGCGAGGTCTTTGAGCGCTTGCTCGACGCCGTCGGCGAGGTGGTGGTGGTGCGGTTGTGGTGAGGCGAGCGCGCGCGCCTCTGCGTCGAGGCGCGCGGCGGCGGCGCGCAGCTGCACGCGCAGCTGCGGCGCGCGCCCGGCCGCCGCGCAAGCCGCGCACGCCGCGCCCAGCCGCGCGAGCCGCTCCGACGTCTGCAGCCGCCACAGCGACCCGCGCCCACCGCCGCCGCCCGCCCCCCCGCCACACCCGCGCCGCACCTGCACACACACACTACCGTAACACACACCCTACACTACGCGTGCTCCACGGAAGCTTAGAGTCCAAGTACTTTGTCAGTACCAACACTATGCAGATTTAGGTACCTTTTTAATAACCATTTACCAAAAACAATGTCCACTCTCCTAACATGCTAAGACTAGTAGTAAAATCTAACATAACGTAAATTAATAAAATATAATATGGCGTTTAATTTGTCTATTTCAATAAAACAAAGTACGCCATCTTTAAAAGTACTAAGAATCTAATAATTACGCAATATGTGTTTTGAGGTAGAGTCATAGATTAAGCAGATATGATAATATACGAAAATACCGTCCTAACAAACATAGTGGAACCTCCTTCTCAAACAATGTTCAAAAACAGACATAGGATATTCCGACAGGACTCTGCTCCAGCTTATAGGGCACGAAGCACGCAAAAGTGGTTGACCGCCCATGGAACTGACTTTATCGGAAATGAAGAGTAAAGACTGACCCTCTTATAGTCCAGATTTATGCCCACTGGATTATAAGATATGGCAAAATTTGGAGGAGAAAGTCTGCGCTAAGCCTCATCAGAATTTAGAATTTCTCCGAGCATCTTTGGTTAAAGCAACGGCAGAAATAGATAGTATGGTGCGTGCTGCGATTGATAATTGGCCGCGTCGATTAAGGGCATGTATTCAAAATAGGGGAGGGCATTTTGCATAATGTAAATAAAATTTTATTCTAAATTAAATTACCTTTCATTTCATATATAATTTCTATATACTTATCAAAAAGTGTATCATATATTATAAAAAGTTATTGACAGAACTTATAACCTGACTGAATATAATAAAGATGCAATAAAAAAAATATTTGCAAACATATAATACAGCGCAACCGTAATAACAAAACTATATGATAAAATAGAATATTTTAGTAGGTGGTTTATTTTAGATAATAGATGGTGTTGTTACTTGGGAGTCTTCAAGGCAAGAATGAATAGACTTTAGTTAAACTAAGTCAGTGCGCTTTACAATCTTCGGCTACATCGCCACTCACCATAAGGTGGTAGTAGTCAAATGTCGACTTTTAAAAATAAAAAAACACATACAATCATACACGGAAAAAACAAGGGACAATATTGCGTCGTGTGACATCACATATTGAGGGCGTGAAACATTTGCGGCCATAAGGCTCTAAACTTTACAAACTCTAAGACTCTTTTTAAAGTTTTGTAGTAAGGCGATATTTGAAAAAAAGTTGCATGTGGCCCCGCGAAATACCGCAGTGTCGCATGTTGTTGCTTCGATGTAAGGTGGGCTTAAAACTATAGAGCTCGGAAATTCTCTTTAAATTGTTTCAGCAAACAGTTTAAAGACTCACATCGAGATAATGACAGACACACACGCACGCACGCTATGCTCACATAACCATTCCATTTCATTGCCAGCTCGGAAGCGGACCAGAAGGCTTCGAGATTGTGATTAAATTTTCCTTAGTCGATTTTGCACAATATTTTGGGGTAATAAATTATCTTACTATCGATAGAAGTATTTCTTAAAATTTTCTAAGCACTTAATGAAAAGTTCTAACGTTAATTTACCTCATTTGTGCACCATTCAAGAGATGCACGTAGAGCGGCAAGGGCATCTCCGTCAGCATCGGTATCTCCAGCAGTGGCTGCCGCCAAGGGAGTGGCGTAAATACCACCTTTTCCAATTGGTCGTCCTCTCACTGTGGGCTTACTAGCTACTGCGGGCTTATCATCGCGACGGGCTACGCTTCCACTGCGTCCCAATCCAGTACCACGCTCCTCGGGAGACGCTTCTTCACTCTCCTCTCCCTTAGGTCGCAACTTGGGACTCAATCTTTCATCACTCTCTTTGCTCTCCCACAATTTCTTAAGGCTGCTAATGCTGCCTGTACTTCGTCTCTTGTCTTCTTCGTCACCTCCGCTCGTATCCAGGGAACCACTTTCTGAACGTTTTTTATCGGAATCATCACTTTTACTCGACACATCCTTTCGAGAATCTTCCGGTGAGCTCTGCTCCGCCTTCTTTGTCGTTCCGTTAGTAGCTGGCGGTCCACTATCGACTTTTCGCAAACGAGATTTGAAGTCAATAATCGATCGTCCAGACTCTTCTGCTTCCTTATTAGCGCTGTTAAACTTATTCGTTTCCACTTTCTTCAATTGGGATTTAAAATTAGTGTTGGTTTTCGTCTCACTCTCGGTTTTCTTTTCGACATTATTGGTATAGGAGGTTTTTCGTAGGGTCGCTTTCAAATCTATAGGAGAAATAGTCTCCTTACCATTATCGACCGATTTTGTTTCGACTCTCTTCTCTGATTTACGGAGTGCTTCCATGTTAAGACTCTCTGATAGTTCGGACACGAGTCGTGTCACTGGATCACCGAAAGACGTTTGCATCTCCAGAACATCATTAGGTGGGGGAGACTCTTTTAGTTTCTGTTTCTTTTTATCAGCACGTTCTTTTATTTCTGCTACAAGTTTCAATTCAAGCATTTCTTTCATGATTTGCTTAGCGGGTTTCTCGTCCACATCGGGACGTTCTGATGGGAGTGTATGCGAATCTTCGTGTTGATCTGACGTGTCTGTGCCAGCGTCGCGGCAACAATCAGGGGGTGGGGGAGGTGGTGGGGGTTGCGCCGTGTCTTCAGGAGGCGGTGGGAGGTCTGGTGGTGGGGGCGGGAACTCCAGTTCAGCTAGCCGCGGCCGTGGTTTTGCCGGGCTGTTGAAGGAGCGCAAGGGAGGAGCGGCTCTTGAGGCGCGGGGTGAAGCAGGGGCGGGTGCGGTGACTCCGCCCGATGAGTTGGATCTAATCATATGGGGTTGGGCGCGGGCAGTCCTGGGAGAAAGCGAGCGGGCTTCATCTTGCGGGGTATCCCGAGGAACACTTGTGCAAACTGCTGCAGCTGTGCCGCCGCCACTCTGCCTCAATGATTCCAAGTAGGCGCCGATTCGAGCACCTTTCGGCAGGGTTCCATAGCGATTTATGGCACGTTTCACGTTTTGTACCTCGAGAGCCGCTACTTGTACTCCTTGCTGAAATTTTAAAATTGAAACGCGTTTATATTCGTTTCTTCATTTAGAATAGAATCTAATGTCTTTTGATCGTATTAGTTTCCACATTTTTGATTTTTTGGATGAATTTTCGGCAATCAGTTGTTTTCCAAAACCAGTGTGTACCATTTGTGTTGATTAGTACATTAACCAATCAACACAAATGGTACACACAACGGCTTTCTTAATTCACGAAAACATAAAAAAATCAGTTCTCCTGTCTGTGTACTATCTGAATACTGAATAACTAATTATGGACACTTACGATAACATTTTATGAATAGCCAGCAAGTATGAGGTTCTTTGCAATTTAAACCAAAACGTATTGGAATATAAAAACAACTTTTGACTGTTTATTCCAAGTCATAATAAAGTATATTAAACAGGAGTTTGTTTAAAATATTGTGCCATGTTGCGCGTAATTTTCTTTACTTCTAGGTTTTATTTGTATTCAATGCTGGCGTAGATATATAATAAAACATCAATTGAAAATGTATTCCAAATTAAATTACATATTTTTAAAAATAAAATGAATTTAATGCGCTATCGTAATAGCCGTTTAATTAGGTGACATTAATTTGCCAGCCTAAGATTCACTACAAACTGTAGTAAAATCAAAAGATCGACTTTTAAGTTTAGTTCAGGTCAATTAGTAATATGATAATATTGGATATGAAAAACATTTATTTCAAAATATGTCAATGACATAGTTTGAATTTTATTTTTTGCAATAGAGTGTACATTATGTATTTCAATTGGGATGGTTACATGAGAGTCAAGTTGGTATTTTGCATACCTTGGGCTGTAGCTCGTGTGCATTCGCATGATGTTGCGGAGGCTGCGCATGCTGGTGATGTCGACGTTTCGGCCGATGACGGTGGTCACTAGGGGCACAGCTTCCACCTGCACCGGCCGACTCGTCAGTATCTGGTGTTGCCTCGGCCAGAGATCCCTCCGATGAAGCCTCGCGGCCTCCCCCACCGCGGACCCCACCTAATCCAAGACTTTGTTTTATATTGCTGATTAACTAGTTACCAAAGTTTCGAATTACGCCGTTGATTAACAACTTTTATCACATCGAAGTAAAGGAAAACCTCAATTACACTGACTACGGGTTTTAAGCAACAATGCATAGATTAATAATGTTACGAGTGTAATAAAGAAATACGGTATAGTATTACAGACATGGTAAAAAAAAATTGCCTCAAAACGTAAAGAAATTTATATAGTTATTTAAACATATCTTATTTACTTTTGAAATACACAAAGAAATTTAATGTACTATTTTCAATTAGACAGAACATAAAATCACACATAAAGCGAAACCTACGCTAAGAAAAATAACGACAATGCTATAAAAATTCAAAGCTTTGAAGAAACATAAGGTATATGAATGAAAGAAATGAGTTTATGATCGAGTTCACGACACGCATCTAAATGAGGCAGAACGAGAGGATGCATTAAATGGAGAAACGTCACAAGCGAAGTCACCCACGCAACACGCTCACTGCAAGCCCTTTTTAATTTTATTTACAACGCTAATTCGAATACCATAAAATATCAACCATTCTTCTAATGCCTACCAAATTTGCTTATTAATTTCTGATAAAATTGGCAATGTATTAATTTATAACTTCCTAAATTGAAGTCAAGTCAAAGACGAGTTTATTTATTAGCAGCAACCTTATACGTTTTCTACCAAATCCTGCGTAATAAAAATATTTCAGATATTTCAATTCGGCATAAAATACGACAGTTTTGAAATCAAATTATCACTCTTAAGACAGCCTTTAAAATGTTAATTTTTTGTTATATTTGTCAATGTACTTTAGCCCTCACACTCACACGCATGCAGCCTACATTTGTTTTGTATCTGTGGAACCTGCTCGACAGCATAATTATTTTAGTTATGCTAACGCATAAAAAACGTATATAAAGTTATGATATGGTCGCCAAATTACCGATTTAACATAAAAATTAAATATTTATGAGTTCTCCTCAATGTGGTTAAAACAGTGCAGCTAAATTAAAATCCACTACTGTTTAAGTCCACTCGTGGTCAGAAAACTTTGAACCTTCCGTAAGAAATTTCGAACAAAGAGCTCTGTCTTATAAAATGTTGTTACAATAATTAATTATGGTGCCAATATTATTGCAATGGATGGTGTGATTTTATATTATATTTTTTGTGTTTGAGGGTGTATTCATTATTCAGTTTCAAAGTCTACGGTTATGTATGGTACTACTAGGAACATTTTGTCGATACTTTTTCGTATGAAGTTCTCTTACACCGTTTGAATCATCAATAAGGCGTGTCGAGAACAATAGCATTGTACGCCATTATGCTACTTTTCAACGCATATGCTCTTCAGAACAGGTGTGTACCACTAAATGCGTTTATAACTGAGAAGGATGATTGAATGAATTAAAAGAAAGAACAAAGTAAAAGGTCAAGACCAAGTCGTATTGCGTGGCGTATGAATGTAAAATAAATTAATTACATCGCAAACACATCTGTTAGAACAGCAACACTCAGTGCACTCCCTAATAAATCGCTAATATATTATTAAAAATTCATTCAGAGAAACATTTATTATTTTTTATTTAAAATTTTATTCACTAGTTTTTCTCTAATGAGGGAGAAATACTCCTGGTACAGAGAAATACTAATGTTAAAGGGAGTTCACCGTAACACAATATTTGCAATCCCAATAGATCATTTGCTTTAGACTATTCATGTTTCTAGTCGACAGGAATAGGCATACATTTTAACGGAAATAGTGGAAAAGTATTTATTTGAAATCTAATTAAATACTTCATAGAAAAAATCAATATAGGTTGCAAGATAGGATCGTCTCTACCCGAAACTCATCATATACTTACAAAATGTTTGAACCTATCGCTATACACCTGAGCGAGCGGATAAACAGACAAAAAGGCTATTTTACAAGAATGCATATATTTACTATATCTTATACAAATTTATTGCTTAATAATACACATAATATTTAGCTTCCGATGGTTCAATATCGTATTTAATACTGCATATAAATAAAATTTGATTAATAAGGACACATTTGCACTCGCACGACATTTGTAGCTTATGCTCAAATACTCAAACGATATTCAATTTTAAAACGCCGTTAAGTCTCGTGCAGTTTCTACCACTTTAAGACAAAGTGACCGTAACACCGCGAGACTTAACGGCATCTTAAAATTGCGTTGCGTTTGAGTTTTTGTCTATTAACAATGTAGAGCACGATACACAAAGGCAACACATGACCCAAATGAACAAAAATAACAAGAATCATAGCATTGAAGCTGATAGCTAAAGCGAGATTTAGAAACTAAAAGGATATGGGATTGATGACGGTAGGGGACGCCACCCAGATGGATATGTCATGCCGTTATGATATTGAATTGCAAAAGAAGGAAAAATAATAATCCCGCAGTCAGCAGATATCGAAGTCCCATGACAAATTTCGCCACCATTTAAGCCAATATTTCGTTTTGCTTTCAGTTTATCTTATTGAATATTATGGAAATAAATTTTACGAATAAATCAAAAAGCAATATGTGGTAATGTAAATGATAATTATAAAAACTATTACATGTTTTAGAAATCAGATGTTATAGCCTACACATGAAGTTTTATATCCTAACATTGTAGCTATCTTCTTCTATGACGTCGTCCAATAATTGCTTAAAGAAAATGAAACAGGCCAAGTGCTTGTCGCGCCTCGCTCTAGGGCGGAGAGAGGGACAATCAATAGAGAGATACAAACAGCAGAATAACTTTTTGCCCTTTGGGTACGAAACCCTATAAATGAGTATACAACTATAATACAGATATAATAGGAATCGTTTAAAATTTACGACCTTACTTATAATCGTTGAATATCACATACTTAAGTTTTTTTTTTTAAATAATACTTATATTGTCGCCTTTTCATGAGTGAGCGAGGACCGTGAGAAAATAGACACCCACGAAATTAATTACATTCAATTGACATTGTTCTATTTTAAATCTCATAAAACGCAACCCGAACAATTAATTGCTGGAGTCTTTCCCACTGTAGGAAAGATTTGAGATATTCGACACGCTTATTCATTTCTTAATTATTCAATCATTAGTTAGATCTCAAAAGATAACGACGAACTTCAAGTTACAAGTTTTTGTTGAAATTATTTTCTTGTATCTATAAATGAAAAATATGTCAAAATATAGAGTGTATTTTGTCAGTATTTCAATACGGACTAATTTTTTCTTCAATCAATACTACTGCAGAAAGTCAGAAATTAATAATATTCCAGTTTGAACAAAATTCACATCAGATTAGGCGGTATGGCATAAGAACTTTGCCTGCCTTAATTGAAAAATCGTTACAACAAGAACTAGTCAATATCATTTTCAATTAAACTTATATGGAGTAATTACTAGCATAGAGGGAATCCTAAAAAAGGCCAAAGCACATTAGTATATTGAGAAGAGTTTTGTAAATAAAATACACATCAGACTAGGCTGTGTGGTATAAGATCTTTGCCTGTCTTAATTGGCGAATCGTAGTAACTACAATAACAAGTCAATTTAGTTTTACATGACGTATGATGATTTTTTCCAGACATATATAGGCCATAAGCTTGATCAGATAATACATAGTAAATTATTTTATTGATATCTGTACTGGTGACATAAGTAAACGCTTAATAATTCTATCAACAATTTGCCACAACAACTAGTCAATTTAGGTTTAAATTAGGTATGATGATTTTTTCCAGTCTACGATAGGCCATAAGCTTGATTAGACAAAACATAGTAAATTATTTTATTGATATCGGTAACGGTAGACACTTAATAACAATTTTTTTCGCCATTGTCCTTTAACCCTCTCATATAACGAACCGACTAAATTTGAGTAAACTTGTATAATTAATTCATTCCGTCGTAAACGGATTGCAAAATTCATATAAACTATGAATTATGCCATATGCGTCCGTTTCAGATCACCTTTTTATTCCGGTCATTATAACGTTGCACGCCTAATGTATGTAGTTTTTCCACAGTGTATCACAGCGGCGACGCCTTGCGTTCATGCTTAGAATTTAGGCTGCAAAAACTTTCGTGCAATTTTGAGTTGAATGCCAGAAGTTACAAAATATAGCTCTTAGGACTTTTTATTTAGTGACTGACTAATGAGCATTAGTCAATAAACATCATAAACTTATATATTGTAGAGATGTTCATGAATAAGTAGCAATAAAAATGTTTCAACAGTTGTAATCAATATGTTGTTTTTATACATATTTTTTTATAGAATAAGAGTAACAAACGAGCATACATACCACCTAATGGTAAGTGAATGCTGTTGCCCATGGCATCTACATTTATCCATATATTTTATTATAATAATTGTACTTGTAGTTTATATAGTGATGGCTTGGGATTAAAACTAATATATAGAATCGACTGAAGCTTTATTTGATATACTAACAGTCATTTACTAACACAAAGTATAAAATATAACTGTAGGCTAGTAGGTTTAAATGATAACAGTGTTAGTAAGTTCTCTTATTTAAAATAATTATACATAATGTTTTTTAAACAAATTTCAAAGCAAAGCAGATCTTTTCTGTGCAGAATAATTGTAAAAAATTACTTTACAAAATATGTAAAATACTTTGCTTTGAAATGTTCTATTATAATAAAATTTCTGAACAAAAATAACAAAACATAATTAACATTGTTAGGAAATTGGATAAGACTAAAATCCCGAGGATTGCAGACGCTAAAAGATCTCAAATATAATAAAGTTGTTTACCTTCGAAATATGTAATTGTGTGTGTGTGTGTGTGTGTGTGTGTGTGTGTGTGTGTGTGTGTGTGTGTGTGTGTGTGTGTGTGTTTAAGTGCGCGTACATACGCGTGTGCTTATTTTGTATGTATGTGAACGCGTGTTTATCTGTGCACACGGGTGCGTTGCATGCATTTATACGTACCGTTTAGCGACGCGAGTCCGTCGTCGTGGGCGGCGTGTTCCTCTGCCGCGTATTGGGACTCGCGGAACGAGCTGCACGAGGACAGCAGGCTGCCGGACAGGAGAGCACTACTTACGATTATTTGAAGAAATATTGAGTGTCATAAGCACATTATAATAACAATCATCAAAATCAATCGAATTACTATCCTTTGATAGATTTTTTGTGCAATTACAATATTTTTCTGGACTGGCTGGTTAAGGTAACAGTTTTTGCACAGCTTCACACAATATGCAAAAATATTACAGATCGTCTAATTAAAAATTACTCGCGCCTCCACTTGTATGTTTGGCAGATTTTACCATTTTCATCATTGCACATATAGTAAAAAGAGTAATATTTATTTAAACAAAATATAAAAAAAACGCGTAGACATAGCTTTTATAATACTTAATACTGTAAATTTCACAAACTAATAGTGAAAAAAAAATATGTATGCTTCTGATGGTATTTAAACGTACCAATGCATTGTTTATGTGAAGTAGAAGTTAAAAAAAACATTGCATATTAATGTGATATATACTTACTTAAATAAAAAATATAAATAATAAATCGAAAATGTCTCATGTTAAAGCTTCATTTCATCAAGTAGGTGTGTTCGGTGACAATTGTTAATTGTCACCGAACACACCTACTTATATTATAGAGACTACTTCGCGGTCCCAAACAAGATGGCCGACTAATCATGACTAATCACGACATAATCACCAAAGACAAAATATGAAATATGGCACTTATAATAAATGCCACTAATAGTGATGTTATTATCGTTTTATGTATTCTATCGAAAGACCAAGATATTGAGACTTACAATAACTATTAATAAAAGAAAACAATAAAGCCAGGAAGGGGATTCTAGTAAAAACATCACCGTTTCTTTTCAGTACAACGTTCATATGTTATGAATGTTTAAAATTAAAAACACGTCAAATCTATAACAAGCGCAAGGTTCAAGCCACACAAATGATAAACAGACTATAGAATGAGCTGGAAATGTTCTATTAAACGCACTATACTCGTATTATCAAAGTAACTGTAACAGTTTGCTAATAATAACAATTTGCTAATAATAAGCTGTTTCATGGCTAATAGGAAATCTAATGAATGTATGATATAATTTGATTTCAGGGAGCATGTAGTGCTTGGCAAAAAAAAGGTCACACATGACGTCGTAAACTAATCGTTTGTTCACGGAAATCGAATAAGTACCCAAGATCCTACTTATCAGATAAACTGATACCACATGCACGTTTAAGTAAGTTGTTCTAATAACAAATAGTATTAATAATAAAAAAGAAATTAATGCCTATTATTTATGTAAAGTATATCAAATCCGATATTTATTTTGGTGGAAAAATAACGGATCATACCAAAATCTTATGCAAACATAATCGTAGCTAAATTGCATCGTATCCGATGTGTAATAACGTAATAGATAGCCACAGATCTAGATCATATAGACTCTTCGACTACTTCAGGAGCTAATCACATCACAGAGTGATCAAAGGGGTTTATAGAGGTTTTTGACGTGGTAGAGCTACGCTGCAGCTATATTATGGTTGTAGCACGAATGGGTCGGCACGGCCGGGGTAGAACCACGTCACGCTCTCATAGAATACCAGCGTGAAATAGCAGCTCAATGCTACTATGTTTCGTATGGTGAGTTTAGAGAATCGGATACCCTTTTTACTGGAGACGAGGCATTCCACCTTAGTTCTCAGAGGTGACAACGCATCTGGATTTTGATTCTTAAAGTAAAAAAAGTAAAGTTACAGCCTATATACGTCCCACTGCTGGGCTCAGGCCTCGCCTCATTTATGAGAGGGTTTAGGGCAAGGAAGTGTCCGCCGCGCTGCCCAAATGCGTGTTAACGAACTTCACATGTCTTCGAAATATTTTTTTTCTTATTCCTCAGACATGCAGGTTTCCTCACGATGTTTTCCTTCACCGCCGAGCACGTGGTAAATCAGCACTTAAAATTGCAATTAACAATTTCATTGGTGCCGGCGGGGATCGAACCCGGGTTACTCGCCTTCTGTTATATTTACAGTTAGAGCGTTAACCACTGAGCTACCACGGCTTGATTCTTAATTGAGAATAAATGTGTCTACGGGTCACAGTATTCACTTACCATCAGGTGGATTGAGTGCTCGTTTGTAACCCTATGCTATACTATAAAGATACCGTATGTACACACACACTATCTAAAAGCTCCTTCAATTGTATCTGATAAGTATTATGGTGATGCTTCACGTCTCGTTTAGCTCTCGGATAATCAGTAGGAGCTACTTTATGCGGAATACTTAATATATTATCAAATATTACAAATAAGTTACGTACAATTTGAATAGTGGGCAAATGTTCATTCTTCCAATGAAACCTTATTCGTGCGTCGCCTGCGATTATATAAAGCAAATACGACACGAAGCGCGATAAGAATAGGTATATAAGGTATTTTTAACTTATGTTGGTGAGTTTGTCTTAGTAATTGTGTGCGTAAGCTTTAGCGTCAAAAACTATTATCGACATAACGGAAAGCAACCGAAGAAACGTTGTGCAGTGATTTAAGAAAATAATTAATGTATATACTAAGCAACAGAGTAATGTTCGTCCGCTTTTGTGAGATAAAGAATTTATAAAAGCCTCTTTTTAGGATGCGAAAAGAAAAATTATTTATTTTCGTTAAAAAGTAAAAAATGCTTTTATATTGCATGGCTAACAATAATAGTGAATGTACATAATTTTTTACATTTTACTCCTTGAGTATACATTTTTTTTGTTTTCGCAGATCTTTGTGTATGAAGTCCTCGTTGCCAATAGTAAAATACAATTTTTATCTTTATCAGTGATGATTAACGGGCAAAAGTTAGAGATTGTTTGTCTTTGTCAAGTAATATATATTTTTATCAAGTCAACTTTGTTAGATCATTTATAAATTTTAATATATAAAAATTAATGTTTGTTTGTTCGTATTTTATGCGATGCTATACTGTTCATCAGATTATGGTAAGACGTTGTCAACTTATTGCTGGGATTTGCACGAACATTATAGGCATAGTATAAATTAACTTACGAATTTATTTGAAAGTTATATATCATTCAAATTCAATGAATGTATTATCACTTCTAATTAAGCAATAAAACTCGCTCAAAGTTAAAACCATATTTCCACAATTATTTTTTCTTCGGTAGTAACGCGCCGTGACGGGTAACACCTATTATTATAATATCTATTACAATATAAATATATTGATTTATAATAAACTACCTCCTATTGTTCAATAGTTCAATTATTTCCTTAACCTTAGGATTCTATGGATTGCTCATTAGCACACAAGAACGCTTTATTGTTAAGTTATTTCCCTGTAATCTTCTTTTTTGGGTATGTGTGTGTGTTTTGTGGGTATGCATCAATTTCGTTTATTGTTAGTTATTAGTGGTAGTGTAAGAATATTCACTACCCCATATTATCCTGTAAGTATCGTTAAAGTAGCGTCTTCCTAAAATGAACTTAAAGCTAAAAACTTTGCGGTTGCAAGCTGCCTGTTAAGTGTGGATAAACTATAGTAAAATTCTTATTATAAGGCCATCTATGTTCAGCAGTGGACTTTTTTAGGGTGTAATAAACGGTTGGGTCACAGACAGACTGACAAGATCGAACAACTGCAATATCTTTCTTTAGTTGACTCACCTGGTGCGCTTGGGTGGTGTGGGCGCCTGTTTGCCGCGCCTGTTCGTGGGGCGCCGCATCTGTACGCCGCGCGCCTCGCTAGCCGCCGCACTGGCGCTCGTGCCGGGGCTCGTCTTCTTCATCGACAGCTGTGGAATGCTGCCGCCGGCGCCGCCTTCCAGCAGTTGCTTCTCCACCTCTGTGTGTGGATATCAATAGATTTGCACAAGGCACGCCCTCCCAAACGTAGCCCAGCCTTCCTTTTGTAGCATAGCAATAGCCTTTATTATTAGTGAATAAAACTATCAATGAAGCCTATCGCCATACATCCACTACAGCTACAATTTACAGCTTAACTATAAACTACTTAGTTACTTCTTATCCTGTACATACATATAGATTTTAATATCAAATTAAACCCTTTTATTTTACAACTTAATAAAAAACGAAATAAAAGATATTCCGAACAATATTAGAGCAATGACAACTGTGAAACATAAAAGTTCACATGTTCATTTCACTTACTCCCTTCGACTATTTCAATGAACAGCACAAGTATTTAAAGTTAGTTGTAGTGGTTAACAAAAGTTTATTATTATTAATGGCAACGCTAGTAATTTTTTTTAAATATTAAATACTCTGAACAAATGTTAATTATCTAAACACATTCTTCTAATAAGTATGTTAATAAAACAAATTCATATTTTTAAACACAAACTCAAAATATAATAGCATATCTAAAATTTATTAAAAATGTACATAAGATAATAACGAATGACTAACCCTCTGTGATAGAATTATCTTGGAACATGTGTTCGAGGGCGTGATGGATCTCTCGGAAGGTGGGCCTGTCGGCAGGGTTCCATTGCCAACAGCCGCGCATCAGCTCGTACACCGCAGCCGGACAACCGGGCGGGCACTCCATGCGGTAGCCCTAAAATACAAGTTGTAACAATACGTAAAATGAAAAATCATTACTAGCCAAGTAAAAATAAAAATAAATACACAATCTAAAAACAAACGACAAAATCAAAAAAAGAAACGAACAAAATTCCAGTATTTAAGGCGTTAAACTTATCGCAATAATTCTCTGAATTAATCTGAATACCAGACTAAAAATATTTCATGACACGAGATATTTTTATTTAACCAGTGCACAAATTAATACAATAATAATAAAATATTTTAAGTCATATAAAGTATATCTTTATATACAATTCTTCTATACGTGTGTGTACTTCTAAACGGCTGGACCGACTTTGATGAAATTTTGTGTATGTGTGAGTTATTAAACTGATTGGAAAATGGTTTAGGTACACAATTGGACCCGATAGTTGGTGTTATTGTCGAATTATAGTATATAATATTATATAATATTATTATAATATATATATTACGAAACAGAAAGCAAGCGAGCATGGGCTCTCCTGGTGGGAAATAATGACCCATGAACATCTGCAACACCAAGGGGATTGCAGGTGCGTTTGCAGCTTTTTAATAAGGAAATAGGTTCCTTAGTCGTATCGGTCAAGAAAACTGGTGGCCACAGTAAATTAAACAGTGTGGTCGTGCGTGGCAGGAAATAATTCATAAATCGCAAGGTAGCGAACCGCCAACCGTCTAGATGATGAGGATGGAATTACATGTCCCGTCGCAGTGTACGATGGTAAAAATTCAGCAGTTTGGAATTCATTCAACAAATCCTCAAAGCACTCCCGTGGTATACGCTACATAAGAAACATAGGAATGTATAAGGTTTCTTCGCAACGCCAGAGGATCAAGTGCTGATACTTTAATGTAACAGCTCAGAAATGAGAACAGTGCAGTGTTCCATAATAGGACGCCGAACATGCAAGCGGTGGGCCGGCGTGAAATATCGCTTGGATCATCTGAGCATATCAAACTCTATAGTTGCCAGTTCTGCCTTCCCTACGAAGTGGTTGCGGAACTGTGCATCACTCAAAATGACGACGCCAAGAATTCCAATGCTGGCTGAGGCAGCAAAAAAAGTGCTCTAAAATTGGGGCGATACGACAAGGAGAGGTTCTTTTTGGCGGTTAATGCAGACCTGTGGTCTTTTGGGGTTCCTAGAACCATGCTACAATACAAACAAGGAAATATAAAGCCCACTATATAGCGCATAGCCGCATGCTTCGTAAACCGATTATAAATAAATAACATTGTTTTGTTTACAAATAACTAACAGATTAGTGTACGTTGGTAGACGCCGCGTGCAGTGTGGCGTATATACAGTCATCAAAAATATACATATAAACATTACTACTAGTTCTGAGCATATACACATCATGTTTTTTATTCAAAAATAAGCAAATGAGAATTAAATACGGCAAAAATAAAATTTGCTACTATAATTATATACAAATTTAATAACTCTTTAGCTCGTGACCCTCTCCACTTAGACCAAAATACGGCTTCATACATGTAATTGCTGCTAGAATCCTTGCACTTATCTTGCCGTGAAGTAGGGGTAGACAGATCCGAAATTATTAAAACATTATATAATGAGGACACCACATTTTCACCAAGACCAATAACTCTCTCGCTTTTTCAATTACATACCTAATTTTACCTGTTATTATGCTATTACACACGTAAGCAATAAAATCTAGTTATAATCTACATTTTAAAACAATTTTAGAAATGTAGAATTGAACGTGTTAAATTTAAATTTTATAATGAGTGGGAAATTTCATAACATTCTAACTATTGAGACAGGACGAACTAACTGACTTTGACGATACACGTAAGCGTCTATCGACAGTTAGTTCGTTCTGTCCTTTAACATGACGATTCCTTTCTTGAATCAGTGACTTGAAATTAATTTCGCTTCAATGACCGCTGTATTTTCTATACAGTTACTGTAGTTTAATATAACTCAAACAATTGCACCTCAACAGTGAAACAGTAAAATAAACAGGATACGACTAGTTCAACATTATTCTATTATATCCCTCATTGGTATTAAAACTAACTAAAACATTTGCAAAGTGGGTTTTATAACAATGATATTTCTTTGATTAACGTGCATATATATAAGTAAAAAACTATGGTGGTATATTATATATAATACAACACTCGTATTTTTGAACAAAATCACAATGAACAGGCAAGTTGAAATATTTAAAAAAAAAAGTATATTATAGAATTTTAAAGCAGCCTGTATGTAGCCGCGTGAGCCCAAACCAAAACAAGCATCATTGTTTGCGCAAAGTTATAAACTCGACTGAACCGAGCACTTCGTCAGTCTTACTGCGGGGTGCCGGTTATTCGCACTGTTGCTGTTTCAAACCCAACCCGACCTTGGTACAAAGTTCGACAACGCCACTCCACGAGGCCTACGATGTTAACGCCGAAGATCACTTTCGTTTACCTTCTGCTCTTCTCGGTGGCTGTTATAGGTATTGTATTTAGAAACGATAACAAGGAAGTAAAAAAATAAACATTCACTCATTTCCATTTTGCAGTAAATAAAATCTTATAACAACTTAAAATGCGATATAATTTGATATATTTATTTAAAATAAAATTTAAAGAAGATTAAAATAGTTATACTTATGTATACATATATACTAAGGTATCTAATCATTTTTAAATAAGTTTATTTTTATTAAAACAATGTTGAATTTAAAAAATAAAAAGTTATTGTTTCATATTCTTATTCAATTTTACTTCAAACAATAAATATAGCCAACCCTAATTTTCTCCGGAAACAATAGAAATGCAATAGCGAAAAAATACAAGTGTAAAATAAGCAAAGGTAGAGAATTTATAATAGAGGGCATAGAATACAAGTAGTTTTTTTTTTTAATTTTTGTGTTTAATTTTTTTATATACCACGTTATTTATTATATTCTTGCAATGTCATACGAATTTGAGCTATATTCCGAATTTCAAATTTCTGTCTCATCGGTAAATTAGTTTAAAATCAATTACTAAATCCCATCCGGAAACGACAGACAGACAGACAAACAAACAAGAAAATGACTTAATAAAAACGTGGTAAAAACCTTATGGTTTTACGTAACTTTAAAGAGAACAGAAAGTTGACTATGACTAATTTTAGGAAAACACAAAAAGACTAAACCGAAGAAATACGTTTCACCGGCCGCCAAAGGCATCCGATGCTACAACTGCCTCTCGTTCGACCACCCTGGATGTTGGGATCCCGACCATCCGGATTACGCAAATATAACTGCAAGTACCCGCTTTATATTTAAATATGTCACACTAATTCGAAACAAAATGGCGAACATAAAACACAATAATTGTTTTTCAGGTACCCAACATAGACTGTTACATTCCAGGAATGGCATTCCTATGCATAGTTATAACATCAGAATCAGCTAAACTTGGTGAGACAACCAGTTATTTATATATTATAGGTAATTCTATTCAGTAGGTTAGATAGTCTATTAAATTTCCCATTTCTCATGATTGTTACAAGAGTCGTTTGTAGAGGCTCTAAAAGATAACGGTATAAATATTGGGATATATATAGGTGGTAGAGCCACGCTGCAGCCATATAGTGATTTTAGCACGAATGGGTCGGCTCGAATGGGGAAGGACCACGCTCTCACAGATTACCAGCGGAAAATAGCAGCTGAATACTGCTGTTTCGTGAGTTTACGAGATCCTGAGACCCTTTTTAATGGAAACGAGGCATTCCATCATAGTCCTCATGGGTGACAACGCATCTGCGTTTTGATTCTTAATCGATGATAAATGTAGATGTCTATGGGCCACAGCTGTGTACCCGTTTGTCACACTTATTCTATAAAAACGTGCTGATTTTACTATGTGAAGGGAAACATTGCGAGGAAACCTGCATGCCTGTAATATAAAGTATTTTAAGGTCATGTGTAGTCCACTAACACGTACTGTAGCTGCGCCGTTAATTAATTGCTCCATAACCTTCTCAGAAATGAAAGGAGGCCCCTACCAAGCCGTGACTTATATAGGCAATAACTTGTTACATTTTATGTTTTAACCATTAAGTAACCATTGTAGATGTGTATGTGGACCATACCATCAGGTGAATTGTGCTCGTTTGTCACAGTTATTCTATAAAAAATGCTATATAACATAAAATGCTAATTTTGGCGACGAGAGCATAATCTACTACTGCGATCACCAGTCCATCTTGTCACACTTGCTATTTTCATGCTATTCTCAGGCTCGTGAATAAGACGTAACTAAAATAATAAACATGTTTCTGAGTTCCCAAATCGAGAAGGCTCAACGCGTATGTTTTTTTATGGTTAGTTTCTACACCGATTATTCCCTAGTTAATTACTATTTTATTAAATTTATTACATTCGGGGTAGTTCAATAAAAAAAATTATGAAAAAATTTCACCCTAAGGGTGGGAAAAAAGGGGGCAAAATTTTTATTATAACTAAATAAAGACGACCTTAGTTGTTACCTTGAACTTTGATATTTCTTAGTCCACTCAAATAGTTTAAATAAATTATTTAAAATAATGTAGAAATGACTTCAAAAAGAATTATAAATATTTTGTCCATAATAAGTTCTCAAGGCGAGATTTAATTCTTGCACCGATTTCAGAATCTTATACGTGAAAATTATTTACTATTTTTGAAACCAATTTTTAATTATATCCTAAATTTTCATTTCTAGACGTATTTTTATATTTCCTCTTAGGATTCTTATCTGTACTATTATCAATAACTATTGTTTATCTCACAGTGGAGACGGGTCAAGAGATCGGGCCAGTGCGCGCACGTACGTGTGTACCAGCCAAAGACTTTACTAAGAAGACCGTGTCATACTCAATGTGCAGTAAACTTAGTAAAGAGTTATCTGCATCAGAAATATTTTCTCGGATAGCAGTTAGTCGACCACAATGCACGTTATGCAAAAAGCACCTATGTAGCGACGCATCCCATTGCTAGATAATCCTGCTCGTGACGAGACCATTGCCCAATTAAAGTTTATGTAAAACATCAAGAATTGATGTGCTGTTTGTATTCTTTGGAAACAAAATATATTGTAAATACAAGTTCTCAGCCAAGTAAAAAAGCAAGGACCAAAAATTGTTTCAGGTGTTTTATAGAAAAATAATCTAAGTTTGGTTTCCTTTGTACAAATAATAAAAGTATTATAAATAATAATATAAATATTTGTTAAGCTACCAGCATTAATATGTAACTAGAGGCCAAATTCAAGACATATTTTTTGGTATCATAGTAAAAATATTGAAACATAAAAGGTGTCATAAAATTAGTATTGTAAAATAAATCCCTCTTTGTGATTTTCCATTAATTTTTAAAAGTATACTTAACATCTCATAAAACTTGAATGGTTTCAATACTTGCGGCTCCGACAAGGCAAATAATTATTTGCTGATAATTGTAAAAACAGAATATTAAATATATAAATGGCATAAGTAAATGATTAGTAATGCACAACAATTAAGCACAGGGCATTTCATTATCGCAATGTTTGATTTTCGGGCTGTTGTTGTAGTTCGCGCCTTACATAACGTGTTTGAACAACAACGCGCAAATTTTTCTTATGAAATTTTGTTTTGGAAAAATGTCTTTGTTAATAACTCTTACATGGCAATATTAAAAGCCTACTTGTTTACAATGGTAAAACAACAAACTTTGTTCTTATAAAGATATTAAAAAGGAAGTAATGGAGAATATCTTACAATGCCGAGAATTATTCATTGATTTTAATTATGGTGTGGATGCGAGCTTATAATTATTTTTAAAATAATTGAACTTGATAGTAATTATAAGCGTGTGTGTAATATAATTAATAAAAGTAAGCTTCTATTGTATAATTTAATGTAAATAAAGCTAATAAATTAAATAAATTATAATATACATATATTATTATAAGATGCAAGAAGTCTACAGCAGGACAACATTCTCGGGCAGTCTTAACTCAAGACTAAATGGAGACTTATGTTCAACCATGGGCTCTAAATTAGATAATGGAATGGACAACAGCGAAAACTCTATTATAGCTATACATTTACGCCTTGTACATCAAAGTTACAAAAAAAATGTATAATACATCGATAGTTATTGCCCAATTTAGAATTCACATTAATCCCGCATATTTATAACTAATAAAATCATCCCGCATTGTCTAAAACGTCCCGCATTCCAAAAAATCATGGCATAGATCCCTAAGAGAAATTGGCAGACCAGAGTACTAATTTTAATTAGTAAAATCTAATTAAATAAAACCCCACAGTTACTTTGAGACTGTTCTAATTATACCTGGAATTTAATAACTGCTAGAGTTTATTTTTTATTTAATCTAACCAAAACAAAATAATATCATCATAACATAATGTATATGCATAACACTTGTATATACATTTAACCTGATCAATAAAACACTCGTTTACCACGTACAAAATGAACGATTGTGTCTCAGCTCCCGAGGCTCCTGTCTCTACTGTCGTCGGTTAATACAGTGAGTAAAAAATATATATATATCATACTGATTTTGATACCGTTTCGACATTGTTTTTTTTTTTCAAACGTTATTTTGATATTTAGAGCTCTTGATATGCGATGGTATTTATTTAATACATCAAAACACTTGAAATTAATTCACCTCAGAATTTAACTTCCAAATGATGTCATAAATAGGACTGAATGAAGTAAGCCCTATAACCTATATCTAATGATTTAAATATCACAATATTTTCTTGCTTGCTACAAGTCGTGAAATGTCAAAGTTTTGGTTTAGTTTATAAAATACGATTATAATATCTTTGCTTCATTTCAAATTTCATTGTTTCACAACAACCCAGCATTGACCACTGCTGTGCTAGTAGGCACTGTCTTCTTAAAGCTTGGATTTATTTCAATAATTATTAAACAGTGTGTGAGAAGTACAGTATTGTTTTTGGTACATACCTTTTCGAGCATATGATAGACGTCCGCCAAGTCAACCCTTGGGTATGGCGACATGCCATACGTAGCGATCTCCCACAAGAGTATACCGAAGGCCCACACGTCGGATTTCGTGCTGAAGGTGTTATACGCGAGTCCTTCGGGCGCAGTCCACTTGATTGGAAATTTTGCCCCAGCGTGGGCAGTATACGTGTCGTCGCGCATCAAACGGGCGAGACCGAAGTCTGCTACCTTCACCAGGTGGTTCTCGCCAACTAGGCAGTTCCGAGCTGCTAGATCTCTGTGGAGTAACATATATCATGATAACTCATTTTCTATTAAAAAATACTGGCTGAAACTGAATGTATATATAAAGTATGAACATTCTTCGATAAAATAATCTGCGTAATCTATTTGCTAACGTCATTAAAATACTCTGCGACTTTAATGACTTACGACGACGGCTTAGCATTGCGATACGGCGCCGAGGACCGCATATTCAAATCCCACGCGGAACAAGTATTTTTATAACCTACAAATAATTGTTTCGGGTCTGGATGTTTGTCTTTGTGAATTTATGTATGTGAGGTTACGTTTATTTTTTGTTTTTTAAAATACTGGCAAATGAGGAAATATCTTTTTTGTAATTCGAAACATAACCGATCTATGATGACAAGTGCCTGTCCCATAGCAGGGTGTATTTTCCTTAGTCACCAGGCTTGTAAGAATGATTGGCTATTGAGGTACCTACTACCGTACCTCTAACACTTTGACTTAATATTTTATGTCCATCATATACAGGATAGCTAACTGCCATCAGTTAGAAGCTGCGAGTTTCTGAGCAAAGGATTAAAAGAGTTACTTTAATAATTTTGTTATGTTAAAAAATGGAATTGAAAATGGCGTCGCCTCTATTCACCTCTCGCTCACACACTGTCACTGTATACTCACATCGGCCGGTAAAGACCGCATAAAAACTACGTTGCGATATGCGTTTTTCGTACGTCCTATAACTTCAGTCCAACTTGTCATTAGAATCAATGATAAAAAAATGCCATAAACTACACCAAATAATGATTTATTATATTTAGGCGAACACTATACATTGATTAAAACTACTTTTACGGATTTTATCCCGTTGTATTTATTTTATTTTTAATTTTTAATTAATATTTTATTTTAATGACCACGGGTGCTGGAAAGCACCCGACGTTTCGGGTGCTTTCCAGCACCCATGGTCACGGGGGACTGAGGTGACTGACGTCCCGATGCCAAAGTTAACCCGGAGTACCTTCAGCTTTTTCATTATTTCTTTTTAATTATTGTCTTATTCAGTCACCTCAGTCCCCCGTGACTATGGGTGCTGGAAAGCACCCGAAACGTCGGGTATTAAAAATAAAATAAATAAAACGCGATAAAATCCGTAAAAGTAGTTTTAATCAATCTACACCAAATAATATTTGGTTTCACTAATTTGTAAGCTAGACGCGTTTTGAGAGTATTCTTTAAAATTATTGTTGATTTTGTTTGTTAATACTTTTGTATAAAACATTGCACTTGTGCATAAAGCATGCACTTGAGGTACGAGTACAGTTTTTTAAAATTTTCTTTTGTCTGTCTATACGAGTTAATTTTCGGCATGGCTGAATCGATAGTAGAATTTTACGAACAAATAGAGAGCAATATCAGGAGTGATCTAGACTAAATGTAATTCGAAATTTTATTAAAATAGAAATATTGAAATGATATTTTAAAAGTAATCTGTTATGAAATGTTATTTTAAAAATGCCAATTAACCAAATAATATAACGTTATAACGATCCATTATAAGCGGCTTTTCGCTATTGGTACGAGGGTGATACTGAACGTTCTTAAAAAAACTGAACAAACTAGCAAGTTATTAGTTTTATTATATCTTTTCAAAATAGTGTCCATTTACATCAATACACCGCTGCATCCGATGGAACCACTGGGAAAAGCACTTTGCCCACTCGTCCTTTTTCCGCGATGTTTTTCTTTTATTTTTGGAAGTAAATAAAAATCGCAAGGTGCAATGGTCGGGGTCATAGGGTGGGTGACTCAGTAATTCCTCGTCTGACGTCGCTAAGTAGTCGATTGTTTGCTTGGCGGTATGCAACGAGGCGTTATCATGGTGAAGGAGGATCTCCCGAACTTTTTCCAAGACAAGTGGCAAACAATTGTTTGTGTACCATTCTGCAGTAACTCTTTTTCGATCCTCTAATATATATAAGTATTTACACCCATTTTCAAAGTGTTTTAAATGAATCTTAGAGTAAACTTATTTTCATTATATCGTTTACAAGTGGCCAGTTTTAAAACTTTCAGGGTCGTCCGCATACTGTGCATGTTGACGTGTTAATCCGTATGGATTGTATGTAGTAGCACGAATGGTTCGGCTCGAACGGGGTAGGATCACGGTCTCACAGAATACCAGAGAAAAATAGCAGCCAGCTGAAGACCTTTTTTACTGGAAACGAGGCATTCCATCTTAGTCCTCGGAGGTATTGTGACCGCATTTGCATTTTGATCCTTAATTTGGGATAAATATAGATGTCTATGGACCATAGCATCCACTTAGCATCAGGTAGACTGTGTGCTCGTTTGTCGCCCTTATTCTATAAGAAAAATCTACTTCTATATACTGTCACCTAATACAATAGTTGTCTACTGCGCTTTGAGCTTTAGGTTCAAACGACAGTTTTAAACAAATTACAAGATTTGGTCTTCGCTCCAGGACGTGTTGAAATGTGTTATGATGATGTGTTGAGACGCATACTGATTGTAATTAATAAGGTATTTAAGGTATATTAAGTGGTAGGACTGTTTTAGCCCGGGAGTCGGTTTGGTTAGTCACCGCCCAATAACCTCCTCTCACCTTTCTACCGCCAAACAATCACGGTCGATCAAAAACATCTTATTATATAACATACTAGTATTTACCCGCGGCTTCGCTCGCGTTAATTTTGATTTTGTCAATTCTGGTTGTCGATCGATCCAGAAATAATCATTAAGAGGATACCTTGAAAATGAATCGAAGTTTTGGGGGCGTGGCTTATTCCTTTGTCGGTGAAGCTAACGGACGACTGCGGGAGTGTAAAAATGAAAGTGATGCAATGACTTCATAGTACGCAAATTATGAGATAGCCATACCGAGCAAGCGCTCGGAAAAAAACTAAGTAAGCGCCAAACAACATTTTTATTTATTTTAACAAAACTTCGCTATGGATTAAAAAACTGGTTTATGAAAATTTAGATATGATTATTTACTACGCCTTAAAAATAATTCCATGAACTTATTCGTAAGAATATTGTGGTGTCATCGAGAAATGTAAATAATTAGAGCCTACTTTGCAATTTTTTTCTATCGAGAAAATTACATGGTATCGTGTTTTTCTTTTAATCAATCAATCCAAAGTCATATAGTCAAAAATCATACAACGAAATTTTGGTTTGTCATCTATAAAACTTAAAAAAATATGTTAAATAGAAAAACCACCAAATTTTCGAGGTATATCACCTTAACGAAAATACGAGTAGCTAGAAAAAATAAATATACAAGATTTAATTATTTATAATCAAAAACATTACTGCAAAATTTAAGCAAATCGGACGACCCAATAAAAAGTTTCATACAAAGTTTATACCTCTCCTCACGCCCTAAAGTTTCAGCGAGAAAAAGTAGCCTATAACCGTATCCATAATCCCATCTATCTCTTTATCAAAATTCATCATAATCGATTCAGTAGTTTAGCTGTGAAAGCGAAACAAACAAACAAACTCACTTTTGCATTTATAATATTAGTTAGGATTAATAGAAAACATACCTATGAATAAAAGAGCGGCTCTCCAAATAGCTCATCCCAGAAGCAATTTGCGTCGCCATGTACATAAGAACAACCGCATCGATGTGTTCGCGATTGCCTGTTCGAAGGTAATCCAGGAGGTTTCCTCGGCTCATAAACTCCGTGATGATGTAGAACGGAGGCTCCCGAGTGCAGACTCCAAGCAATTGCACCAGATTCGGATGGCGCATTTCTTTCATGATTGCTGCCTCTTCAAGGAAATCCTTAAGGGCCATTGTGTCGTCTTTCAGAGTTTTAACCGCCACCTGACAGACAAAAAACGTAGATAAAATTATTATGCAATAGAAAAGATATTCGTATAATTAGTTTTTCTGACATTTTGTTAATAACACGTAAAATATACGCTTTTATTTTTTACTAACTGTTCCCCGCGACTTCGTCCGCGTGAAATTTATTACAATTGAATTTCATGGATTATTTTTGTAAAATAAAAGTAGCCTAAGTTACTACTTATAACATCAGTTATCTGCCTGACAAAATTGGTTCAGCCATTTCGGAGATTAACCGGAACAAACAGAAAAATATAAATTTTAAAAATTGTTATTTTTTTTTAAATTATTTCATATAGCTGTGCCCCGCGGTTTCACACACGTATTATAACTCGCGTCTGGGCCGCGCGACATGACATGACATCTCGCTCATTTAGTTCAATCATTTAAGCTAAAAAATCTGAATTATGTTTATTTTTGTGTTATTATTATAGCTGTTTAGGTGATTAGTTTATATTTCTGTATGTTTTGCATGCCTACTGGTAAAATATGGCTGAACTCACTACCTATATTACTGTACCCATATTTGCAAAATAAAATATCTTTTATCTTTTAAAAAATTACTTTTGGCATATGTACTTTATACAGCAAAGTTAAATTTTATCCACCCTCCCTCCCGCTCCCGGCTAAACGTCATCCCCCCGCGCCCCAGAAAGTGCCTAAAATGCCGTTTTTTCAGTTTTAAAGAGAACTGTACACGGTACATGTAAAGTGTGTAGGTACGAAACGATCCTTAATGATTTTTCTATCAACCTTTTATACATACGAAAGCGATATCATTTATATGAACATTTTTCACCTTTAATCGATTTTTTTAGTTCATAGTTTAGGTTTATTAAAATTTCCAACTTTACCGCCAAAATATGTATGACTAAAATAAAGAATAGAATATGCTCTAAGAGGTACAAATTATTTCTTAGCTCCTACGACACGACAAGTTTTGTTCCGACCGGTGATCGCACTATATTTTATAACACAAAATCTACTATTGTGACTTGATAGTTAATAATGAGTATTTTAATAATGTAGTACATAATTTTTATGAAACATCAATAGTTTTCTTAGCGCACGCCAAATAATGAATTTAATAGGCAACATTTTGTACTTTGGGTTACATTATTGCAAATTTTCTTAACGATCTCTATTCTTTTTGAAAACAAATTATAGCCTATGTTACGTCGTGATAATTTAGTTTTCTATTGGTGATTTTTTTTTAAATTAGGCTAGTATTTTTGGATCTTATTCGATACAAAGAAGCAAACAAACAAAAATATTTCTTCTTCATAATAATTAGTATAGATAATTAATTTCTTTGTTATTATTTTTTACGTATTTTTTTTGTTTTTGTCCTTTTTAAATATTTAATTATTTTATTTTTTTAGAAATATTATTTTATTATTTGTAAAAAGATAATAGCTACAACACATAAACTATTAAATGTATTGGGTCAGAGCTTCCCTGTTGATGTTGTTTTATTTTGAGGCAGCAAAATAGATTACAGTATAGATACAGCTGGCCATGAGTAAAACATTTTTTTCGTGGGTCGATCCCTACTAATTCGAAGGTTTGGCCTTGGGACTTGTTAATAGTTAACGCGAAAGATGTTTTAACCAGAAATTGAAAGCGTTTAAATGGGATCAGTTGGGATTATTGATATCCTCGGTATATGAGCTAGTTGACCAGCTAATGGGCCGATGATAATGGTCGTTACGATTAAATTGTCATTCAATTCCTTAATAAGCAATCTCGTACCGTTGCACATGCTCGGGGGGCTTATATTTCTAAAAAACATGATTGGCGTTCCGATTTTTAACGTCAATTAGTGTGGTGGCAGTCCAGAAGGGTTTTGGTGGATTTAGAAATTCCTGTGGGTAATGGTTTGCGTCTTCGGTATTAGTCACAGTGTAGATCGATAAGTAACTTTTTGTTTGTCCGGGGACTTTTTGAATAATCTGATTGTTTATTTCGTTGACGGTATCATTCCTAGGCGAGGAGACTATTGTCCTAGAAACACAACCAATGAAAGTCCTTTTCGTGCAAATTCTCGATGCCAGGGTATACTGCATCTATTGAATTTCTTAATTATTGACTATTTGGCGTAGAGACTCGTCCAGAACGACGTCACAATTTCTGCTTAAATTTGGAGTGGAAAAAATTCCTACCCCAAGTTTTAGCAGTTGTGGGAAAATCACTGTCTGTGATTCCATGAATATGAGCTCTCACATTCGTCCGTAATTTTAAATTTTCAATCGAAGTACGGAGCCGATTTCAAGCATGCTTTGATGATATCTGCTCGCGTACTTCTGTTAATGATGAAGGAGTCTGTCGGACTTCTCCAGTAAATACAAAAGTAATCCCGCCCATAGGAGCAGAGGAGTTTACTAACATCTTTTAAGGTTCTGTCCTTGACTTCTATATCTGCTCTATGGCTCATGGTGCATTCATTCCACATAATCAATGAGGCGCCTTGTAGTAATTTACCAAGAGGTCCATTTTTGCGGATAGAACATGTAGCTTGTTGCTCATGAGTAACGGATAGCAGAAGTGTAAAAGTAGAATGAGCAGTTTTTTCATCCTTTAAGAGAGTTGCAGCCATTCCAGAGGAAGCAACTACTGTCGCTATCTTCCCCCGATCAACAAATTTGCAATACTTGGCGCATCCAAAAAAATTATTTTTCCTTTGTTCGTTCGTTGATTCACGCTATCGACTATAGTCTTAAAAGCATGTCTTTGATCTGTGACTAATTTTGGCAGATTTTCATTAAAAAAAGCGGTCCATTCATTTTTATTATAGCGATGTGCTATTGTATCGGTAGCAATATTTTCTTTACGAACTGAAGAAGGTAATCCAAAATAACTTAGGTTTTAATTATTTAATTGCAATAGTATATTTTATATTTGTATCAAACCTTCGTTATAAATATCCCACTGTATGGTAACGGGAAGTCTTGATTTTGCTGTCTGATTTTGTGTCTAATATCTTCACATAAATCGTCTTTAAAATTGTTCCATAATTTCAATGGTCCGATGACCGACAAAATAAAAGTATGACTAGAAACAACTCTCTCAGTTGTGCTGGTCATTATGAAATCAATGTCTCTCGGAGTATTTTCCCAATGCTCATTGTTTTGTAGCAAGCCTCTGTCACGGCAAGCTGCTTGGTAGGCCTCTTTGAGAACTCCGTTAACGGTTTTTAAGTACTCAAATGAGGTTGGTCCGCGTATATGACGTTACAACATCCTAAGATAAAAACCCTCTGATTGAGAAGGATGTACACTGTAGACTCTTCCTAAAACGGCATCTTTTTTATGCCTGGATACCCAACTACGTCCTCACCCCGCCTCCTTCTTGTGAATTTATTATTGGACCATGTGTAGTATTGCAAGACTTTGTGGTATAGAAGTGTCTTAGCGAATTAATCTTTATTACAGAGCTCAAAGAAAGCCAGCAAAGTAGTTTGTTTTGGGCAACATGGGTTTTGGGCCACTTATACAGCCATTTCTACGGTAAAATACACCCTTTGTCCGTTTTCTAAGTGGAGTGGTAGGATGCCACTCGTGTATCGGAAATTCTAATATTCGCCAGACATCTTCGGATGTACTTATGTACCGACCATTCACGTAGTTTTTCACTTCATCATTTGGGTTTCTGACGCTAAAAGTAGCTTGGTCAGAACCTTTATTGGTATATTTACGAATGTATTTGATGGCTTGAATTTAGTGGCGGTACTCAACATTTATGTGAAACATTTGCGTTAAACGTCCTACATAATAGTGGAGAATAAGGGACAATCCATCTATCTAATCTAATCTTAATAATAAATCTAAAAAATCAATCCATATATCTTTATTGACCCTACTTCCTCTTATATATAGCGTAGCGCTCTGTCCTCCATACTGGGTATTCTCTTCGGTTTGGGTATCGTTGAGGAAACGTCGAGGGTACTTTTTTGTACATATACCATTTTTTATACATGGTGCAGCATATTTTTAGTTACGATATCGTACAATATCGGGTCGTTTTGTTGGCAGTTCCGCAACTATGACACTATCAATTTCGTCTGGCTGGATTTTTTTTCTAGCCAAACAGCAAATGATTGTGTGGTAAATTTCGCTTAAGCCACTCCACACTTGCCATGTAACATTTCACTTATTATATTTCATCTTTGGTGATTTTTTTTAATGAATTTCTTCATCTTTAAATGAAATACACTTGAAATTACGTCATGACGATCGAAAGACCGCTGACCAGATAATAGTTCCGCTTTTATTTCAGGCCATTCGGGATTACACGTAAAAGTAACAAATAAGTCTGGCCTTCCATGGTTTCGGATATAAGTCATCGCATCCTAGGTTTTTTCATGCAGATAACGCGAGGAACCTATGAATGAAGATGGCAAGATTACGTGTTGACCGATATTTGATGGGTCAACATTTGCGTCTTGATTTAAAGCATCTCTGAGAGAAATGTATTCATCAGCCTTCAATATCATTTTTGCCATCATATCGACAACGACTATATAAATCCCTGTAATAATGTAGTGGATTAAAACAGTTAACTTTGACCATCAACCTAAATGCATAAAATTGCACGCAAGTCACAGTTTTTTTACGCACTGTACCTTGCTGGGGAATGGTCATCCGTCAACCGTCTTCTCCCATAACGAACATTAAGGGATACTGTAGTGGATCATAGGATCGGTGTAACTCCAAGACCTTTTTAAGTTAACCGTCTCTATCGTGCAATATTATATTTCTGGGTCCTTTCTCTTTGTCAACTCACTCTGACACTCGACTCTCGCACACGTAGTTAAGAGGTTCTCAAATTTTATTCAGCAAGCCGCTGCCAACGCTAGAAACTCGATTTTCGCGCGCGTACTTGAGAGGATCTCAAATTTTGTTCAGCATGTCGCTGCAAACGCTTCATACTCGACTCTCTGGTACACGATTGCGACGGGTATTCTATGTGACTTGCAAGACGATTTTCAGTTTCTGTAGAAGATTATCCATTATGAGGTATTTTTAATGCCCTCGTCTGGTGACTATTTCTAGAATGTTGAGATCTTGATCTTTTGGACATTTTTTTATTATTTCATCATCAGCAGGTAGGAATAAAATTATTTAAAATTAAAAGTGCCCTTGTACTAAATTATTTGCTTAATTGTTGAACAAGAATTATGTATATAAAATCTATTTGAAAAATTATAAGAACTACTAAGTTACTAAACTCTTTGGATAGTTAAATGTACAATATTTATTTATCGATTAGTACCTACCGAATATAACATAAAAAAGGGTTTAATTCTAAAAAGAGCTTTTGTTTGGTTTTAAAAAGAACTTTTTTGTTGGGTTTAAATTTAATTAAACCTACAAAATGAATTTAAAACGAATTCAAAATATTTTATCGATTCCGCACACGAGCGCTGCGTAAGATCCCTAACTTTTTTGAAAATATTCTATCGTCTATGTTCATCAGGGATAATGTAGGATTAGATCGGAACCTATTCAATTCTAACAAACAAACAAATATTTCCTCTAGTGTAGGCTAAAGCTTATACAGGCTGCCAAAACGACAGTATTAAGATTATCAAATTAATATTAGGATTTTTTATTGAATACTAATTTACAGTAATGGGGGACATTTTCTTATAATTCAGCGATATTATATTTATATTCAACTCAGCGACAGAGTATAGATTTAGGATAGAAAAAATTCCTTGCGATCACCACCTCATGACGAAATATCAATTGCTGGCGAAACAGCTCTCGAAGTTGGGCAATAACGGCTCTCGCTGTGTATTGTCATTGATGTCATTTGTCCGTGTGTCACCAGCAACAGTATCGTTGCACAACTAGGATTTAAAAAAAATCCATTCATCGACACACAACATATCACTGTCACTTTTGAGCTATGCAGCAGTGTTTGATGTTTTTGTCTGGGATTGAAAAGTGAACAAAAGAGAAAATTCTATTTATTCACATTCCATTTAAATATCACTCGGGCGCGCAACCTCTCAATAACTGGAGAACATTTTATTGTAAATTGTGGTCATTTTCCCTTATTGTCATTATTATAAGAGTTTTATAGAGATGAAAATTTTAAATCCCGCTTCAAACTCCATTATAAGACCAGAGTTAGTGCTGTTTAAGACAGCTGCTCTTTAGCGTATTGTTAGGCGAGGATTATGACGAAATCTAGCTGCAACTTCATTTATTGTTGGTTCCCCTCTTGAAGTTCTGTACGGACTTAGATGTGGCTAATGTATGGCGTTACCTCTAATTTCTGTGCCCATTTGCTAATTAAGTTTTCCCTTGGTCCATCTCTTACACGTATGATGTTGTGAGTAAGCTGCCGCTAAGCCGTAACGTACACTTCTTCTCCCTAGAGAAGCACTTCAATAACATAGAATGCATTTCCGACTCCTAAAACATACAGCGACTCACGGATTTGTAGAAAAGATAAATCTACTGCATTCATCTCCATAGCAGCCCTTGAAATTACACTGCTGAACCATAGGCCTCCCCCATAAATTGCTTCATCGGTTTTGCTACCGTTGTCGCTCTTAGCGGGCGGCTTTTGGCAACCGCAGTTTTTATAGTATTTTGAGTTTTTATAAGGAAGATTATGATGCCCATCTCCTATTTCAGTTTCTCTCTGTCGCCGCTTAAGACTTCCACGGGATGATACAAACGATTTTTATTTTTGTATATTTTTTAAATATTTAACTATTGAAATCCTCTAACGTGAGACACCCTGTATCAAATGAAACTACTTCAAATTAGGTCTTTTTGAACATATTATTATGTCAACATCTATTTTTCATATCAGCCACTGTACTGTACTGTTACTAATTCTAGACTTTTGCCACTATTAGAAGAATTCGTATTATTCGCCTTTATCACCACGCTTTGTAGTCAGATTGTCGAATGTATTGCCAGATGTCTTACACTTTTGCCGCTGCCCCCGTCGCCGATATTAGTACCTACTCGGACATCATGGTTACATCTGTCATATATTAGATCGTATATCATTGACATGGAGAATTTGTGTTGATGTTGCTACTTGGACTATTAACCCCATCATCAGTGAAAATATTAATGGAGATTTATTTTACTCAATTTTCTGCAAATCGGTTTGTGAATCGCAAAGCTTATAAAATGTTAAACTTGCATGATTTTATAAAACTGAACATTTTAAGGAATTTACGAAGTTCCTATCAAACCCGTGAAACCAGACAACTCACGGTCATATTCCCTCGCTTCCAAGCGGCCTCGTACACGTCTCCATATTGTCCGCCACCGAGTTTATGCTTCATGACGATGTCGGTTCGATCGATTTCCCACTCGTCAGGCGGCGCCAGGGGGAACACGGTGGGCTTGTTCCGCTTCGGGGCCGGATACAGTAACTGAGTGATGAGACCATCGCCCAGAACTGAATGGTGGTGAACTAACTCGGCTAGGGTGCCGAACTTGGACTCCGACGTTACGTATACCTGATAAAGAAAAAGTTTTCATTTTATAGCATGTCTATTGCCTACGAATAAAAGGACTAAAATTGATTAATTGAATAGACCTCCCACTACAGTAAAATTATTTAAAACTATAAAGTGAAAAACGATCTACGAGTCCATGTGCTGTTTTATAATAGTCAATACTACCACTTACCACCAGGTGGGCTTGTAATCAAACACTGGCTTATATTAAATAAAAAATAGCACATGGTTGCAAGCAACTAAGACATCAGGTAGGTCATCGCTTCAATTATAATGGCTCTATATATCCTTCAATATCTACCTGTGTCATTAGCTCGGGTTTACCCGTGACAGATCTTACTCGGGTTTACCTACGACGAATCATGCTTCGGATACCTAGTATTTTAATTTTTTATAAATAATGTTGCATTTGACACTTAAAGCAACAACAGATAGGATAGCTGCGCAGTTTCTTGTCCGGTCAGAGGCACCACAATTCAAAGACTTTATTATTTTACGTCGATAAAATTTTATTATTTTTTAATTGCATTCGGTCCGACACACTTCATTGGATGTACAACGGAATGACAGAAGAAATAGGTAAGAGTTTCCGTTTCCTTTTAGGAGTACATATGGATAAGTCAACCCAGATATACTCCTAAGAACAAAAAGGAACCAATCACTTAACATTTCATTCTTTTGACTTTTTATCATAATATAAGGAATAGTCAAATAGTTACGAAGAAAACCACTCCATTGCACATTGTGCGTCAAATGTAGAAACATATTTTGTGCCTTTTGCAGATTTTACTTGCATTATCTACTTTCTTTCACACCTAAAACATTCGCCTAGTAATTCTCTTAGACATAAACCGTTCACCATAACTAAAATATTTGAGTGAATACGACGAAGATCTTAACCATGTTATTATTGTTTCGATTGTGCAGTTAACGTAGAACCTATATTATAGCTGTAGCACGGATGGGACCACACTCTCACAGAATACCAGAGTAACATAGCAGCTTAGTACTGCTGTGATTCGTATGGTAAATGTAGAGAACTGTAGACACTTTTTTAGTGGTAACGAGGCATTCTACCATAGTCTTCAGGGGTTACAACGCATTCTACATTTTGATAACTAACCAAGGTCATCTGTATGTTTGTAAAGGCTACAGCATCGCCATCAGATTGACTGTGTGTGCTCGCTTGTCGACCTTATTCTATAAAAAATAAATAAGTCAAAAAAGCATGTTAAAAGGAAAAAGCAATTAGCATGTCTGAATTCGACGTTTTTTTTATTATCTATATGCAAGCACTGACAACCGAGCTAATAGTGGTACCGTGGCACACTATGATGAGCGGATACTGTAGTTCATAGTGTTTATAGTCACCTGTAAAACAAGCCACAGATGCTTTAAAGAAGCGATAAAGCATTATCTATCTATACGATTAATTCTTACGAGGTATGCCTGGTGGTATATAGTCCATACAAAATTTATCAAATATTTGTTACGTATCTACCAATGGTATATTCCTGTTTGTTTACTCAATACTCAATATTTATTTGCATTCCCTAATGTTAAAATTATGAAATATTAACTTATACACAATATGGACCCCGTCGGGCATGGCAAATTGGAACAGAGGAGGACGCAAAAATATTTTATCATTCCTTATCATTATATCATTATTCATTATTATTCATTCATTTATTTATAGTATTTTATAAAAACATCATCATCTGTTTTGTTTTTAATAAGTTTGGCAGTTTATTATTAACGGTTATAGCCATTACGTAAGGGCCAAGAGATAAAATAAGGCATACAAGAGCTTCATTTTAGAAGTTGGTAACAACAATCTATTTTCATGTCTAAAACTATAAGCCACATATTCAGTTTTTTTTTTTATGTAGACATTGGAGTATTTTCGCACAAATTTACATAATTACAAATAAAATAAGGAATTAATGTATTTTTAACGAGGACGAATACTCTCAGTTTTTTCTATGTTAAACAAAAAGCGAATTAGTTTATTCTGTAAGATGAAGATGGTGGATGCATCTTAGTCTTTACTGTGTCCCCACATGATAATACCGTACCTTAGTCACGACTGTAAAATACGACTGTAAGAACTAGTAACCTTTTAAAATTATTAAAATTTTCCCTCTGTTGTCTGGCTCAGTTGTTCGGGCACAACGTGACTTAAAAAGCTCGTTAAAACCACTCCTTCAATTTTCTTAAAGATAAGATATAATCTTAATTCTCTGTTGTCAGTAATGGTACCAACAGACGAAAGAGTAACTGCCATTACAAATAAATTGCCAATTCAAACAATAATTGAAGTCGTTATCTGCTCTGAAATAATTGTTATATTTTCTTATCACACAATATGTTATGTTACCTTGCCATCGGAGTCCTCATTAATACGATAGTGGTACACGCGGCCTTCGTACCGCAAGGATATACTCCTTTGACCTGGACTAGACTCGGATTCGCGGACCTGTCAAACAAGAATAAATATGTTATTTTACCAAATATTATTTTGACGTTCTGAAAATATAGCTTTAATAGGCTTTCAAAGGAATCTGACGTAGAAATGAGGTGAAATAATTGGCAGGTTTTATAGTGGAGGCAATTAGTATATTAAGAACATTTAAGGGTTAATATCAGTTCTATTTTATATTGATTAGATTAGAAATGAATCATCTAAACTACGGATATTCCTAAAATAAAAATATAAATAAAAAAATAGATAAATAATGCGCAAAAAATTAAAGAGCAATACACTGAGGTTGGGATGGCAGGTCTTAAAACAGAAAAGCCTGACAGACCTGCGAGCTTAGCCGGACATTTTGGTAAAAAGGCCGGACACCCTTAATGTTTATCTTAGTAAAAGGCATTTTTTTAAAGTAAAACAATATAAACAATTTTTATCATTCACCGTAAAATCTTCTTAAGTGCTAACGAAATAACAACAATTGAATAAATGAGTCTTCTTTATTACTAATTATTCAATATTCATTACAATATTAATTTCGATAATTGCAATATTTTGTATGTAAGTATATGAAAAATGTAAAGAAATGGTCAAATTTAAAAAAACCTAACAAAAGCCGGACACCGTCTAATTTGGCCGGACACGCAACCAAAAAGCCTGACTGTGTTTTATCTGGACGTCTGGCAACGCTACACCGATTACCGCATTTAATTTGTATTTACTTACATACTCTAGTAACTGATAAACTTTTATTTAAAACGCAACTTTTCATTTAGTCTAACACATACCTACATACATTCTGTAACAAACTTCTTCAGCTCAGTCCTAAATACTGACATCTGGTGAGTGAAAGAAGCCCTCATTGGCGGAATCTTTATAAACACAAAATAAAGGCTTCTCTCGAAACATCATATCTATGTATGCCTCAAAATTGAAAACAAGTATGTTGCCAGTGATGCTTATGAATTCGAGACGTGGGTCCTTCACTGCTGTCCGTATCAGGAAGCTCAAGGTCGCTCAGCAAACTGTGGAAGAACTATGCTCGGAGTTTATCTGCGTGATAAACTTCGTAATAAGGATATCCGCAGTAGGACCAGAGTAACAGTAACATCCCAAAGGATTAGTTGAAATGGCAATGGGCCGGCCATATAGCTCGAAGAACTTACTATAGATCGGTAAGAAAGATTCTCAAATGTCAGCCTTTTAACGGTAAGCGAAGTGTTACCCTTCACTAGATGGAGTGACTAGGTAAGAGATGTAGGAAGTCGATGGATGCAGGTGGCTCAGGACCGTGCTATGTGATGTTCCTTGTTCAGCATTAGACTTTTTATGGGCTGTAATGCTAATAATGAGAAATGTTGTTTTTGTTGCATAATCACACAACACAAAGGTGACAAATGTTATGCCCAAAAAACTGCTTTCTGACCAAAAGCTACAACGCAAATCTGTTAAATCCTATTGGGGCCACAGTTTTACAGTTTTGCACTGACAAGGTTCCCAAACCCACGCCACGTGCCGTTTGCGACGTGCCAAATTTTGTCGTGTTTTCGTCAAATATTTGAGGATGTAAAGTACTAATTATAAACTAGGTAAGTTGATATTGTTTTATCTGTAAGATTATTTTCGTTTAGCGCTTAAATCAAATGTTTTTCATCACATTAAACTCCTAAACGTTAAGGACTTAAGTACAAGTTTACGCACTATATTATTTGGACACGGATTTAGCAGTTTATCATAAGGAGGAGTTGAGAGAGGTGTGTGGTATACAAATATGTATGTATATATTAATAATAAAATTAATATTTCCTTACAAAATAAAAATTAGAAATCAACATAAACTAACCAGGAAGCTGCCGTTGATACCCGAGGATAGGAGATACTCAGCAGCGTTACGTGATATCGGGCCATGGTACCACGAGTGTTTCTCGAGGGAGTTGACGGGCGTCACGTAATTGCTTGGCACCCAGCCGACTCGCCCGCCAGATAGTGTGTGCGCCTCACACCATTCACCGCTCTTGTTGTAACTCATAATTCTCACCTGCTCACCTAAGATCAGAAACAAAACGTTTACACACAAAAAAAAATACTACTAATAACGAACTACTATTAGGGCATTGTCAGAGAAATCTCTAGCCTTACGGCTGGAAAACCACCATAAATGGCCATCCAAAGACAAAGCAGGGAACCTTTGAAATGCCTTGGAAATTGTTATTTCCCAAGAATACACGTACGTAGCGATTGTACGCAAGCAAACCGATTCAATGACCAATGAAATACTATTTTCTAGCTAATGATGATGATAGGCATTTAAGTAAGTTTGGTCAAACATTAACTAACCACTATGCCCTAGAATTCCCTAGAATACCCAGTTCAGTTGTTGATCACGGTCAGCGGACGGGCGTATATAAAATGATTTGCGTGAAATAATCCACCTATTAAAATGGTATTGTAAAAAATTGAATGAAATGGATAAAAATGGCTGTGATATAAACTTAAGACATTAATAATAAACGGTTTTTTGTCGATATAGAGACCACCAAGAGAACATAGAGCCATGGTTGTAATGATTGGTAGGTGAATTGACCGATCACAGTACCACCACAGCCTAAAGCCTTGTACGGAATAAAATTTACGCATTTAAAAAAGTTACGCCGCCATCAGAGACCATGCGATCTTTCAAGAACTTCTTATTGTCATTTCTTATGACGGTCATAGGACGAAATGGGGTGATCCTTCCAGCAACTCCTACTCAGTAGAACCTTTACTATGTTTATTAGAAAGTAAACATTATGAAAAGTGAATATTATGCAGTTTATACACTTCGCATATTAAAATATAACATTGAAAATAAGGAAAAATGCATGTTATTCGAAAGCAAAATTACAGACAAATAACAGGGAAAACGGAAACATCGTTTTACACAAAAAGCCGCTTCATTTTATGTGTATACGAAAAATTACAACAATACATTTTTCGAATAAACAATAACATGTAATAGGTATTGTATCAGTACATTGACCTAGCTGCAATTATTTAAAATATCCATACATTTTTACTCTGAAAGATCCATTATCCAAATTCTTTAAGATCAATATAAATTAAATACGTAACGGTAAAATAAAGTTACCGCCTATACACGTCCCATTGCTGGGAAATGCCTCCTCTTATTTCTGAGCGAGTTTTAGAGCAAATAAATGTTCGCCGCGCTGCCGCAGTGCGTTGGAACTTCACATCTTCGAAATATTTTTTCTTTTTTCTCAGACATGCCGGTTTCCTCACGACGTTTTTTCCTTCACCGCCAAGCACATGGTAAATCAACACTTAAAATTACAGGTAAAAATTTCATTGGTGTTGGTGAGGATCGAATTCGGGTAACTCGCGTACTGTGAAATTTACAGAAAGCGCTTAGCCCCTGAGCTACCACGGTTCTAATTAAAACCGTAATTAGTAAATAAGTGAGAGCTGAGAATAAAATAAAATTATGAAACCTAGAGAACATTTCATCCAGCCCTAACGAAAGTTGTAAAAGCAATTTTAGTTGCATTCCGTCAACTGAACACATTACTTTTTTTATATAGAAGAGGGGGCAAACGAGCATGCGGCTCACCTGAAAAGTGAAAAATGACTACTGAACCACTTTAACTCTTTGAGCTGCTTTGATGTAAAATAAAACTACGCCAAAGTACTTTTATGAACTAGCGTACACTATTACTTCGCTTGACCGATCAGACTGTGGACTTTACAAAAGCTTGATCGAAGCTTGTTTTCTTTGTTACAAGGAAATTTAGAGAGAGACTTATCAAGTTTTTGGAAAATTGTTTTCATTCAAAATATCTCTAACAGTGTTTTTAATAACATTTTGATTGTTTTATTTTCTTGATAAATATAACTATTTCTTTACAATCCATTTGAACTGTTTTAACAATATTTTTTTCATGCCTGCAAGTTACTGTTACCCTCCTAGTTAAGTGTTGATAAATGCAATAATAGCTTCAATTTTACATATGCTAACAGAGATATAATTACATAATACAGATAATTTATAAAAATGTAAATATATAAAATATTAATATTAAAAAATGAAAATGTAATTTAAAAGACTGATGATCCTGATTATCTTTAAGTGTACAATAAAAAATACTATTAAATCAATAATTAAAATCATCACACCGCAATAACGTCTACCGCAATAACAAATAAGTTGACAATTTACTACATTACAGCTCATCAAAGTCCAATGCCAAACAAAGGCCTCTCCCGCATAGATTGGCTCATAAGTGGGATATTTTTTATAGTTGCCACGCTTATCAGGCAGTCTGCCATTCGCAGTTTTGGAAGTAAAATTTCTTTACGCACGCTTCACTTTGGGAGTAAGCTGGTGAACGCGTGACGAAAGCGTTACGAAAAGTGTGATCCGGCGAGGCGAACGGGAGTTGAGTGGCGGATATAAGCAAGAGAGAGCAGTGCGCGCGCATATTTTCTTACTCTCTTTCTCTCATAGCCAGTTACTTTTCGTAATTTTATTTCGTTTTGAACAATTTTACGAATTAATATTTTGTTCAATAAATTAAATATTGTACGTTTGAAGTGAATAAAATTAATTTAATAATGTAATCAAACAATTTATAAAATAAATTAAAATTCATTTTAAAGATTTCTTAAATTTACGCGAACACTACACATTGAATAAAACTATTATTTACGGATTTTATCGCGTTAAAATCCGTAAATAATAGTTTTATTCATTTTAAAGTTCATATTTTGTGAATTTTCGGGTGAATATTAACAAATGATGAAAGGAAGCTGATGATAAATTTAAATATTTGTAGAAAATTAATATATGTACTATATACATGTATATATTATTTAGAGAACCGTTTAACTGGAAGCGAGGCCTTCCATGTTGGTCCTCAGGGGTGACAACGCATCTGCATTTCTTAATCGAGGATACATGTCATATCACGTAAATGAGATATCTTCTATTGGCCGCAGCATGAACCTTACCATCAGGTCGACTTTGAGCTTGTTAGTCACCCTTATTCTATAATAAAAAAAAATCACTTTAGAGACTACAATGGAAAGCTCATATTAAATCCTCATTATCTAAGTGATGATCCTTATGAAAAGAATATATTATAAACTCGACCTTCCTTAATTTTTTGCTTTGCATATATAATTTTATGAAACTTTGAAAATTATAGCTGTTGGTATATAAATAATCTTTTGCCTATTCTTCTCACGGCTCGTTGAAGCGGATTGCTGAAGCTATGGTCTTGCTTTCTTTACTTTCATAACGGTATTGTGTAGTAAAAATAATATTTTGACTTTTGTATGGTTAGTTGTGGATACTTCCAAAGAAATTGCACGTGTTTAATACGCTCTTATTTATTTGTCATAAACAGCGCTTGAGAACAATTCTACTTGATCGAAAGGAGACCCAGCATGAATTCCTTTTATGAGATGCACTCTGGTTTAAAATTGATCCATATTGAAATAGTTTGAACCTGCAGCAGGGAACGAATACTTTTGCTACGCACATCAACTTATACATACTACTTTGTATGCGACTGGAGCACATCAACTATATAGGTATGGGGGGATGACTCATCCGTTACATCTAGTCGTCCAATGACGGAACGGGTATGGAACCACGTTTCTGTATACTCAGCACAAGAGAAAACGCATATTATAAATTATTATTTTTTTTAATTCTGATACTAATTGGAATTTGTTATCGATGTCCAATTAGTTCTGAAAATTTTTACGTTGTCGTTTAACTAGCTTTCTATAAGAGCTACCACGGCTCATAAAACATACGACGCAATGTTACTACAAAGTGATTATCATTTTGATATTTTGATGTGAACAAAGTTAAGGAATACGCCTGCTAATACAGTGGACCACTTTACTTACTGTACGTTAACGCTATTGAAATATATATATATATATATATATATATATATATATATATATATATATATATATATATAGCGGTAGGGGAGTTAAAGCACATTAAATTTCACAGTATGCAAACGATCCGAATTTGATTCCCATCGGCATCGTCTATCCGTCTATTACAGCCTATAAAAGTTCACTGCTGAACATAGGCCTCCCCCATAGATTTCCACATTGATTTTACCATAGCTGCCACGTTTGACAGGAGGTGAAGAGGTCGCTGCCCATATCCTGTTTCAGTATCCCAGTGTCGCCTTTTACGACATCTACGGGGCGATATGGGGTAGTGGACATTTGTACTCCGCTACCAGCACCACTGAAATTATTAATTACAATTGGGTGAAGTAAAACATTGAAAAATACGTGTGGCACTCGGTGACTGCGGCGGTAAAGCTATTGCATAGCATTTTTTATCAACTTATGCAATTATAATTATTTATTTATTTTATTTATGCAGTTAAGTCTTTGATATTAAATCAAGTTACACTTTTTGAGCGTGGTGACCGATAAGAAAACAATTTTTTTTCTCTTATTGAATAAATGAGAAGTTAATATTGTTTAAAATATTTTTAATATCTTACAATACATGTAGGTTATTCAGGAATTTTTATCATTGACTTAGCAGCTAGTGTACACGCATACGTCTAGCCGCACGCACACAAACACCGTGCCGAAGTCTGCCGAACTGAAACGACGTTAGACGATGCACGGCTTTCAACGCCACACCTCCGTGCCCGTCGGAGTGGGGAGCGTGAGGTTTTTTTTCGTTACGGAATTTCTGGATTCGGTCCCCGCGCTCAAGGCCCGCGATTGAAGCTATGCAATAGCTTAATAAACCTTTGTTTTTTTTCTTTAATGAATTAAGGGCGACAAACGAGCAAACAGGTCACCCGTAAGTCTAAGAAAGATATAAGTATTTATTTATATACAAACCGAACTGAAGTAAAGTAAAATAATTACAATTTGCTACTTAAATTTAGTAGACTCGAAACTAAAAGTTAAATATGGTTTTTACCGTCTTATTATAAAACGTGGTCTATTGATAGCCTCGGCTTTAAACAACAGTTTAAGAGTACTTCTCACGTAAGAAG